ATGTTTGAAACGGCTGTTCTGAGATCAGGATTCAATTTAGAAGACTCTGCTGCCTTTGCCTCAAGAATTGAAAAAATGTTAAAACTGAGTATGGACATTGATCCAGATACAAAGGTAAGAGTTTCTAATATTTTTAAACAGTTTTACCCTGTGGAACAACTTGCCAATTTTTCTTATATTCTGCAGAATATATTCGTTGATATGATTGTTGATTTGGCAATAGGTTGAGGAATGGCCTGAAGATTTGGAAGAAGCTGATGAGGAAGATGAGGAGGAAGATGATGACGACGAAGAGGAGGAAGAAGAAGAAATTGAAGACGAAGAACCAGGAGCAGGAGAAGATGAAATATTAGAACCAGAGGTTTGTAATGATATACTTGTCTCCAAGCAATTGTTTTTAGAATAAATCATTGTAATACTTTTGATGTTCAGAGTTTTATTTACCAGGTTTTAATTTCTGTGGTTTGTGGAGGACACTATACTATATATTATAGTTCACTTTGCATTGTTTCTATGTTTTTAGTGCATTTATAGCTATCTGCAAAATATGACAAATATAAAGAATTTGAACCAAATAGTGTCACAAATTTGACAAAATTACTAAAAAAAGGAGATATTTAAATTCTTGGGGATATTTTGGTTTGTGTGAAGTATTTGTGATGTTAGCAGGCAGAACAATTGTCCACATCCAGCATTTGTTATTTAAAGCACGGTGGTCGTCCCGCAGTGCGTGTTCGAATTTCATGTAAATAAACAATTTATTTTACATGCGTTATATAATATAATATTTTTTTTATACGTATGTAAAACACATCGTTTACGAGTCTCGTATCGAACAGGACGCGGCACGACGACTGTCGCCCTTTAAGCTTGCAACTAAAGTTGTACAATTCAGGAATATTTTCTTCCAGACTAATTTATTTTCAATAATTTTCTCTTTTTAGGTTGAAGACCATGATGAACTCTAACATTCTTCAGAACAGTGTGGTTTTTATACAAAAAATAAATAAATAAATGGGTCTTAACTGAAAAGTGCTGTGCTATAAAATATTCCTCATGGAGGAAATTTTCTCTTCCTTGATGTGCAACTTGTGTACAATGGTGATGGTTACCATAGAAACTGAGAAATAGCCAATCAATGCCAAGGATCTTTACAAATTGTAAATGTTTTAAAGAATATAGCAATTTGTCACTTTTTGAAATAATGAATTTATTTTATAAGTGTTTTTTTTAGTTACGAATATCCTAACATTGAAACGATAAAATCTGTTCTCTGTGATTTTTGTGAGTCAATTGTTAGATTATTAGTTATGTGTATCGTTCATACTTTTAGTTTTCTACTGTTATTCCCAACTTTTATAAAGAAAAGTGTCTGTGCTTTAGATTCTTAGAGCTGATCATGTTTCTCTTTTCCTGTCATTGTTTGTGCAACCAAGTTAAGGTGTCACAAAAAAAATGTAAACATTGAAAGAAAATGTATAAAAAAGGAAAAAAATAAATTATTTCTTAAACAAATATTGGTGCATTTTGCCTTGTAATTTACATACAAGAAATTCTGACTAAAGTATTTTTAGTATTGGTGATTGTATGCTTAATTGTGAGTGTGTTGACAATTATGAATCTCGCTGTTGAGGGCAGAGTATTCTCAAAGTATTGAACGAGTTTACCTAATCTATAATATTGAAGACAACGCATGTTCTTTGTGTGTTTACTTTTTAGTTTGGGCTAATTGTAAAGTTATTGAAGTGAACAGATAGCTTTAAAGTTGTATTGTTGGCAAAACTCGAGAGCAATTTTAAGTTTGAACGACTTGCCCACGAATTGAATCGGTTGTGATGCATTGTACCGTTTATCAACTACCGGTAAATTATTTGTCTTAATTACAAGAAATCCAGTCGTACGAGTACATTGCCATTCTTATTCTACTTTAGGAGTACACTAAATGCAATTAACTTCGGAAGTATGTGGTGTTCACTTAGATGCACTGGTAACGCGAGAAAATAACTTCTTATAAATTGTTTCGACAGGAAATAACACTACGGTCTGGCATGCACTTCAAACTAATATTAATGTAATGATGTCCATCTTTGATCGTCGGAGAATCTTGCAAGCAATTCAGTGACTTCATTGCCCCCTGTGATGCTGAAAACTCGTTCACAACAGACTGTAGCACATGTTCCTTTATTGGCAAGGATATCGTGCGAATACTGTGGCTGTTGCATTTATTATAGTACATATATTAAAATATAATAAACACAAAGCTATTTTAGTTGTTTTGTATATTAAAACTTGTCTCATGAACAAGGGATTCACTGAAATGCGGTGTGTGAGGGCGTACTTCATTACATCAGCTGTTGGACGTTTTGTTCATTGACAAGTACCGTTGATGCCGGGCGGACACCTGTGGATCTGGCCAGCTCTCTATTTGAAACTTCAAAACTGGCTGCTTTTCTGGGAATATTGAAAACCAAATCTGTGTGATTTGTTCACACCCTTTTTGTAGAAGTTTAAGTAGGCGAACATGTTCTCTGACTAGAATTACATTGCATATTGTTTCAGCAAATAAATTTTGGTAAGATTTGGCTATCTTTGCTCGGTTATATTTAATCAAAAAAATATTCAAAATCGCTTTCACATGCCGGTTGCTATGAACAAGTGTCAGATGGGGTTTAAATGATATTCACGTTCTAGTTACTGACCCTGTGCAAACCCAAAAGAGTAACTATTTGGACAACTTTCCACAACTAATATCCATACTTTTGACATGTGGAATTCAACAAGCCTATCAACGAGCGCAGTGCACAATGACGTCATTTTAAAATGCTTTAATGCTATTCCATCGACCAATAAAAACCTCTCGCTTTAGTTCGAATTGTGATAATTGTAAACATTCTTTAAAATGGGTTTGTGGGAATTGGAGTTTTAATTCGGATTGCAGCATCATCACAATCTCCGTAAGAATAATAATACGCATTTTATTACGAACGATAAGTTAAAAAAGTTCAGAAAAAAATTAGAAACATGATAATTGCATTGCAATGTAGAAAAGTCTTATAAGAATTGGTGAAAATCTCAAAAAGGTCAGCTATTATTCTCAATAATAAATTTGAACCAAAACGTAACATCACCTAACGTACTTAAACAAAAAGTAGCAAATATGTGACCGATCCGAAAACAATGCCTAATAAATTGAATGTTGCCATGGTAACACCCATCGCATTATTGCAGAGATCCGTTTTGCAGCAGTCAAGACAGTTCCAGGTATCATGGTCCGTATTACAGTAGACGTCCATCTGTTCAGAAAGGCAGTATTCATAACTGTACTTGTCGGTGTTGATAGCACTGCGGTAACATCCTTTCAACACATACAGCTTATCTACAACAAAAATATCATAGTAATTCTAAAAAAATAAGTCATGACAGTTAATATTAAACATTAACATTATTGTTCATGAATAATTATAATATCACATTGATTTTCACCTCATGTCACAGTGTTAAATTCAATATAATGTCATTGAATTTATAGTTTTTGTGGCAACACATGAGTGTATTGCAACTCATGACCTTAGTTGTAAACTTTATAAACATTTATCTTTTAGCTTAATGCTTACCAGTGTAATATGAGTAGGTAGTACAAGCTTCATATGGACCACCGTCTGGCAGGTCTGAGTCATCACAGGTATACACATTATAACAGTTGTCAAAACTATTGGCTGCTGATCCATCAGCGTTACAGTAATAGCATTTCAGCGCAGAAACTGTTAAAATAAAACAAGTGTAAGAGAGAGACCGATTTAGATGACAGATGAGTCCCATGCGATGTTTACATCACGTATAGAATACATTGTTTATTTACATAATAATACACTAGTAACTCTCACTACATGATGGGACCGAAGGTAACGCTTTATCTTTGGCTCAGAAAATTTGTAATTAGAGATATTGATATGTGTCTGTGTCAAAAAAATCTCTGATGTATGTCCAATAATATTGGATTGAAGATTCATCAAGACGTTCCAAAGATAATGGTATGAAACACAGGTACTGATGAATTTCAAATATTTAAGGGTTGGGTTCGGAATACCTGAATTTGTATGTTGCAGCATGTTTGTTTGACGCCTTTGACATGCGAAGAAACTTGCGGCACATAAATAAAAGTAATACTGACAGACTTCGCTAGTCATGTGGGTCAGTAACTTAACTTTATCAAGCATTTCTGTTGATTCCCTCCGTGTGATAATATATGGGTCAACGAGCACACACCTCGAGGGTGACTAGTAGAAACCTACCAACAGGTAGGCAACTCGCCCAAGATGTCTGTAAATTATGTAAAATAGGCAATTCAAGGGGCCGGGGACCTTTTCATGGGTCAAGGAGCCCCTTTTCAAATTCATTACGAAGGCAATTTCCATTTCTATACAAAACTTACTGCTTTGTACTAAAAGGAGGTGGTGAGCATGTAGCGTTCAAAATCGTATCATGTGTCAATATGTAAAAAAGGTTGTTGTGTTTTCCCCCGCATCATTGTTGCCATGACAACAAGGCGAAACAAAGCTATTGCATTGCGCTACATTATTAGGTTAATGCACTTTCAATCTTCAATTTTGTCTATGCTGTTCGTGTGCAGTTTATTTGTTCCACTATTTTTTCCACGGGAATGGACACTAATTACGTTAGTGAAGATATGGTTTAAATATGTGGATTTAAAAAAAGTTAAATTAAAGGAAGTCCGAAAAGTTTTGTTTTTTAGGTTTAACCTAGGCTGTACCTTGAAAGATCATGGATGGAGCTAAAAAAAAAGACTCAAGTAGGATTAAAACCAGTTCAGTCCCCTTCTTTTTTTCCCCCATGGTACGATATAAGTTTTCTAAATTCGGTGAGCGACTACCAGCGTTCTTTGAAATGCCTGTGAAATGGCTGCTATTTTCACGCCTAAAATGATCCTTTGATACATAAATATTATGACCCCAGGTTACAATAGCTTAAGTGATTTTTACTTTAGCATATGGTTAGTGTGGCAAATTTGTGGCAAACATATTATATTTGGGAGCTTGGTTCACACATATTTTGATGCGTGCAATCATCACCGTATATATACCCGTTCTTACTATAACCAGGGAGCTATGACAGCTCTCTGCTCTCTGCTATAACCCATTCATAGAGCTCTTTTCTAACACTACGGCCGACTTCAACACCGATATAAGTCCAGACTAAGGGACGACGTCAAAAGATCGATGTCGGATAAAAAACTTATTTGCTTTAGTTTGGGGGTGGGGGGGGGGGTGACCTCAAAAAGTTTCTATCCTACAAAAACGATTTTATTTTTTAATGAAGTCAAAACAATCTTGCAGTATTTGTAATTCGGTTTTTTTCTCTATCCAGTCATGGACAAAAATAACAGAAAATGAAAAAAAAAACATTCAAGACGAGAAAATAGTTTTTTTTTTTAGAATTATAACACAAAGCGTTTTATTTGGACTTAAACATCGGATATACAACCACATTCCCTGGTATTACATTCGGGAAATATTGTTTTTAATTGCAACTTCTAAAGAACAGATGCTTTGCGATCACAAACCCCGATGCATTGCTTTTTAAATTGCTACGTCATTCAACTGTGATTATATAGACGCACGTACGTGCTATTCCACGGGGGGTTTCTTCCCTCCTGCAGTCCAGACGTCGCAGTTGAAAATTCTTGCGTAAATGTGTTATGCACTACACATTTAATCAAATTATTTTTTTTT